TATTTTGAAAAGTCAACATTACTTCAAATGACCTAAATTTGCTAATGGGCCCATTTTTCTTCCATGATTCATCATTCCAAGCATATGCACGACCACTTGGCCCAAAGGGAAGTATTTTCTCATTTTTTATTTATTTATTTGAATTATTATTCATATTAATTCATTTAAATCATTTAAATATGTGAAAAATATCTAACATGACCTAACCAATCTTTTTATGCATGTTTTGGACTCAATATTTCGTGCTTAGTTAAATGTGGAAAGAATTGGACTGATTGGCATGATTGAGAGCAAAATACACATGGAAAATATATGAAAAGATCTTTAAGAAAATCAAATATTCAATCAATGAATGAAAGAGATTATGGCCAATTTTGTTGACCTAATGCCTTCACTACATAATCAGAAACCTAAACCTAATGCATGGACACGGAATGCTGCGCAGAGAACACCATTGCAAACTTGGAAAATTATCAAAAGAACTCAAAACTGAAATCGTTGTTACAGGTCAATTCAAGCCTCCATTCTTGTTCCAATAGCTTCCTTGAAGACTTCTGAACGTGTTCCAATCCATATCATCCATCAAAGCATCAGGAATTGGTATATCTGAGCCCAGCTTTACACGAAAAATTCTATGGTCGAATCATGAATCTCATGCATTTTTCTTGCGTTTTCTTTATTGATTCGTATTCCTTGATTAATTCTAAAGCTAACCACATTATTTGATTTAGTTTTCATGCGCCATATACAGATTTGCCATTGTTATGTTTTAGGGTTTTACAAGCTTTGATTTGGGCATTTCATAATGCTGTAAAATTAAGACTCATCAGTACCATAAACAAAACCAGCGCGATTGGACGATCAATAAACAATCCTCGCGCCTAATTTATGTTCAATGAGGACCTAATCGCTATTTCTTGGAAACCGGCCTAAGGCAACGCGTTTAAAACCGTTGCTCAATGTTTTAGTTTCAGGGAAAACGAGGAAGAAGACCTCGTGGCAAAGCATGATTCGTTGGTTTAAAAATTCGCGCGTTTTCCAGCACTGATCTTGTTTTTCTTTTATATTATTTGTTCATTTATTATATAACAAAGGCGTTGACGTGGCTCAGCTGGCAAGCATTGATAGCTTCAACATCCAAGACCTGGGTTCGAGTCTCAGGTCTGTGTAATTTCACTATCATTTTTCCATAACTATTCCTATGCAGCTTCAGTAACATAGACGTACCATATGCCTCCCTCATCCAAGCGTCCACGCGTCTAGCATATTCAGATCAAAGGCATAGGATGGATGAACACGCTACACTCCAGTCAACGCACCAGCATGCTAGCAAAAAAGTCAAAGAAGGCCACACTAAATGGGCCAGAGTTTCACAAACTTAACCTCCACTTTAGGGCCTGAACCCCCCCTGGTTTGCAATTTCTTTTTCAATTCTCTTTATGTTTTATTTTATTTTCAATTATTTATTTGTTTTGTAGTTTAATTTAATTAATTATTTTTACAAAAAATATAAAAAATGTCATAAAAAAAACAGAAAAGATAAAAAATGTAATAAATATTTTTATTTTAATTATTTTATAAATAAATTGTATATAATTGAATTTAGTATAATTAGGGTTTTTGCAATTTTAATTCTTTTTAATAAATCTAAAAAAACATAGAATTAGGTAATTGATAATTTTTCCTTTTAATCTTTTTTCCTTTTTTTCACCATAATAATACATTTATTTTATTTTTTTATAAATTGGCATGTAAATTAGTTTAGATTTAAATTAGGTTAAAATTCAATATTTTTCATAATAAATTTAAAAGCCATTAGAATTAGGGTTTGCATTCAATTTTAATTTTAAATTAATTCTCTTTTTCATATTAAACAAAAAAAAACACAAAAATACCAAAAACATTTTCTTTTAATTTTAATTTTACCTCCTCATTAACTTTAATTTTTGCAAAAGGGCCCAACGCCCATGTCCTTAATTGTTTAAATTCGCGTATTTATTTTATGTCGCTTGAATAATTGTGTACTTCTCCCGAAGCCTTGTAACGTTTAATTACTTTTCGCACTCTTATTTACTTTCCGTCAAATCGGGTCCGGTTTAATTTTGGCGATGTGGACCCGCGCCTTTTGTAATAGCTTAGAATTTACTTTCCCCGCAAATACTTTGAACTGTTAACAAAAAGCATGCAAGAATGAATGGACATAAATAAAATCAAGCGTAGAACACCAATAACATGACAAGACAAATACAAATGAAAACGACACACAAATCGCACACACCACCCTTAGGGTACGCCTCACTGTTGCCTTGCCTCGAAAGGTGATCGTCGAGTAGAGGATGTCTTAGTAAGTCCTCATGATCCAGGAACCTGGCATGAGGGTAGCTTCTAAGGTGTCTTCCCATTGCTCTGGTGATCACCATGTCCCTAAACTCGAATTGACCCGAACACCTCCAACGGTGGTGCTACCTACCTCTCAATGGTGGGATGGCACTACTTTAAAGGATATTTACGCAGACGAATTCCTTAGGGTAGGTAGACGACTCATGGATACTTGCTCTCTTCAAAAACAAATTCAAAAATACTTTTCACACCGACACTTTTCAAAAGCTTTCAAAACAATTTTTCAAACACTCTGACACAAGAGTCGAACTGGAATTTTCAAAGAAACTTTTTAAAACCCACAGTTGAAAAGCAAACAAACCATTTTTGAAAACACAAATGAGCAAGTATCTAAGAGCCCATGGATAACCATGGATAGAAAGGGTGCTAACACCTTCCCTTTCTATAATCTACCTCCCGAACCGAGAGCAATCTCTTTAAGGAATTTTTCTGTGCTTTTGTCCTTTCCATTTGGAGAAAATAAAAGACGGTGGCGACTCTTGCTTCTGCGACATTTCGCGAACCAGCGTTAAACAGTCAGTTCCAGATCCACCGATCACAATGACCTTCCTTCTACGCATGTCTATTGCGTCAGGCATATCGTCCAGAATTTCTCGAGGGAGGCCAAGGACAAAACATTGAGGAAAGCGGTGATGAATGCGGGATACGCACTGACACAACCCACATTCAAATATTACCGCAACGAGATCCATTTGTCTAACCCAGAAGCCGGTACGTGGATCGATAATATACCGGTCGAAAAGTGGACTAGGTCATACGACAATGGCCAAAGATGGGGGCATATGACAACAAATCTTATTGAATCAATGAATGGGGTATTCAAGGGCATACGAAACCTCCCCATCACTGCCTTGGTGAAATCCACGTATTTTAGGATGGCTGCGTTATTTGCCAAAAGAGGTGAAATGTGGTATGCGGTCTTGCAATCAGGACAACTATGGAGTGAAAGCTGTATGAAATACATTAAGGCTGAAAGTGCACTCACATGGTTACACGATTTGACCGCCATAGCCACAACTTCATTGTGAAAGAGATAATCGACCACAATGAAGGCCTGGCAAGACAAGAATACAGGGTCATTTTACCTTCTCAATGGTGTGATTGTGGCAGGTTTCAAGCTTTTCGTATGCCTTGCTCTCATGTCATTGCCGCTTGTGCTCATACCCATCAAGACGTGCTTCAACTGCTCTCAAACGTTTATAAATCTGAAACGTTGCTCACTGTTTACAACAACAACTTTCCTTTGGTGGCAAAACCGGACTATTGGCCTGAATACAACGGCGATATAGTTTGGCACAATGACCAAATGCGAAGGAACAAGAAGGGTCGTCCCAAAAGCAGGCGCATCACAACAGAAATGGACGATCTTGACAGGTTGGAAAGAAAGTGTGGTTTATGCCGTCAGGTCGGACACAATCGCAAAAACTGTCCGAATCGGACGTCTGGCTCGACCACATAAATTTTGTAATACAATAAATCTTTCCAATATTTGTGTTGTAAACATTATGGGTTTTCCGTTAATAAAACTGTTAACACAATTTAAGAAATTCAATATAGGAAATTACATTAGGGTTTTCGCGTACAACAATGATTAACGATATTCAATCTAGGAAATTACAACTGTTAACACAATTTCATCTGACCCATGCATCATCAGCATTACATCACTGTCTGTTTTGACTTCCTCCAACCACACATTAGGTCTTCCTGTCGCATGCGAGGTTGTTGTTCGTTTTCGCTGGATCCTTCGAATTTTTTTCCCCTCGGCGATGTCTCCATCTAGCCACCGCATCAACTCCCGCTTCAGACGCTCCATGGAGTGAATGTGCCAGAATTTCATTTTCATCGCAGGTTTCGTGGCGGAGAATATAACGTAACCATCTCTGCTAAAAATCATAGGCGACGTCATTACGTAAATAAGGGAGTACAAAATAAAAATACAGTGCGAGAAAGTGTGAGAAATTTCAAAGAAACGGACGAATTATTTATAAAACAGCAAAAAACCCTAGTTTTGCCCTAGGCGCCAAGTGAGATGGCGCCTCCTCTCATTTTTAAGGAGCATGCGCCATCTCACTTGGCTAAAAGACAAGGGAGGCGCCAAGTGAGATGGCGCCTAGGGCAAAACCCTAGGTGCATGCGCCAATTGAGATGGCTCCTCCTTTGTGGAGCCATCTGAAACATGGTTATTTGCGTAATTTTTTCCGAAACCCGATTATTTGCGAAATATTTTTTTAATACATGGTTATTGTAAAAAAAAATTCTATATATGATGGTATAATTTTTAAAATTATATTAAACAGTATATTCACTAACATTCACATTATTTTTCTCTTTTACACAGTTTGTAACTTCTATTACCATAAACAAAATCTTTTTCTAACAAGTAAATAATTCATTTTTAGAAAATACTTTTCATATACATGCGATCGTAAATCACAATAGAGATACACTTGATATTTTTTTCATTAACAATTCTTGATTTCTTCAACTCCAAACTTCTCACACACTCTCACAAAGCCTTCACCAAGAAAGCTAAATTTAAACCATGTTGCAGATCACCCCATTTTGCCGTCGATCCTCTCAGCTTCGACCACCCAGGAATGCATCCGCATGTCCCTCCGTTCACCTCCGCCGCGATCTCCTTCCACGTCTCGCCAACACCACTCATCAACCACCTTCAGCCGCAGACATCAGACGCTACCGCCGCGAATCTGATAGAGAACGCCGCATCACCCCGCCGCGAATCTGACCAAGAATACTGCACCACTGTTGACCGCCCACGAACACATCAACCGCCGCTCAACCATCTCACTGCCGGCATCTCATTTTGCACCGGTAACTTCTTCCGTCTAGATTTTGTTTTTTTCCCTTTATGTTCTACTAATATTCATTAACCCTTTTTTTCTTTTTCATTTTCTTAAAATTTTTTGCCATGTGTTGCTCTGTGATTGGGTTTGAATGGCATTGGAAAGTCAAAAGGATATCAACATTTGTTAACAAATTTTTTTTTCTTCATATAAACAAACAGGGCGACACCCGTTTATGTAATTTTTTTTAATTATTATTTTATTATTCATATTTAGATTAAGGTTTTAGGAGTGTTAATTGGACTGGGACCATAGTAGAGACTTTTATTAATTTAGCACCCATATTTTCTAACCTAGACTTCTCTTATGTTTTTATCCTTTAATTCATTTAGATGTAATTAGATTTTTTTTAACTTAAGTCTTTTAGGTTAATTTTATCATTAACAAAAATATAAAAACACAAAAAAAAAAAGATTTAGTTTGTCTTATTAAGTTAATCAAATTTGCAATAACATTTAATTTCTCGATTAAACTCCTAATATCATTGTACATAAACCAATAACTTTGTATATAATTAAACCTTTTTATTAATCAAATTAATTTTAATATTTTTTTTTGTAAAAAATGAGATAGGTGGATTTTACATCCACCATATCCTCGAATAATCAATTGGTTGGCTTAGCGTCTTATTATTCAAATCAAAATATTAAAATTCACCCAACACATCAAACTTTGGTTTTCGCTCCATGCAATAATTAAACATTACCCTCTCGCTCCATGCAATTATCAAACATTACCCCTCGCTCCATACGACAATAAATCAATTTCTTCGCCCTGCGCGATTTAATTCTAATAAAGATCAACTCATTATCGATCAACCAAATTTAAAACGGCTAACCAACAAAAGAACTTTTTTACTAGCATAATCAAAATCAAGACTTTTTTTCAATGATGGATTGCTTCGTTACTTTCACAATGAATACAAAACTTCACCTACCATCACTCAACTTTCAAACTCAGTCAGATTCAATCCATTCAAAAGAAACTTAATGCAATCCTATAAAAAACACCAACCAAACATACTTTGAACTACGTAGGATTCTGATTTCTCTCACCCTCCAATGAGAGATATGTAGACACACGTTTGCGAGACCAAGGCGAGTCTACTAATAATTTCATCCCATTTTAACCCTTGTATAGATATATTTTACAGTATAAATAAATGAATGAGTAATTAAAGCAGAATAAACAAGAAACAAGATAAACACACCTAGAAACCCTAAGACTAGAGAAGGTTCCCCTTGAGTACAAGAAAGGTGAGGGGTGCCTAACCCCTTCTTCTCGTTTAATTGGCTCCTGAATCCTTAACTAGGTTACAAAGACCGCTTTGTCCATACCTTTCGGATTTTCCCATTAGTTCCTCGTCCTTAGGTCAAATAAATAATGGTGACAACTTCTTTGAATTTTTCTAACCGCTACAACCATCATGTACTTAGACCTAAAACCTATGAAGATGCTTGTTCTAGTGGATGTTTTAATAAAAGAGTCAAAGAATGCTGCTATCAAAAAGAAGACCTCGTCTGAAAAGTTTAATACCCTAAAAGGTGAACCCTCTTTGAATAATCCTGTTGAAACTATGAATATTGATGAACCCAACCCCAGTGGGAATAAAGCTGATCTTGGTAAAACCACTAGTAATGAACAAGATGTGATACCACATGTTGAATCCCCTGAGATCAACATGTTGAACCAGATGCTGAAGTATCTGTTCTAACATCTAGTAAACCTCGGGCTGAACACCATATTGATTCAATTATGGATGCTTCTATTTGGGGTATGACAATGGTATCATCATCAGGGTCGTTGTTAGTTGATACCCTAGTTCTCTTTGATGTTCCTTTCCCGCTCATTTTAGTACATGATTGAGGATTTAATGAAAATAAAGTGAAGCAGATGTGCTAGCACAATAGGTATAGAGAAACCGGTCACGAGGGAGGTGAACACAACCAGCTGAAAATCATCAAACAATGTAGTCGCCATCGAACGTCTTTTATCCCACATGAAGGGAAAGGTAAACATCGAGAAAACCTGAGAAGGGATAAGTCACGGTCTTGCAACCAAGAGATAAGGTAAGAGAGTCTATTACGCGAGAGGAAGGTATTAACACCTCACACGCCCGTAGTACTCTATGGTATCCGCTCTTGTTGCCTATCTTATAGGTGTGTTTAATCTATGCTTACTCTTTACTACTGCTAAAGGGAGAATGCATGCAAAAGAAAGTGGAAAAGAATGTAGGGAAAATAAAGTTGTACTCGCTTGGGCCTTAGCCCAACGCCTACGTATCCTTTTTGAGGAATCAGAGATACCGTAGTTTGGCTCACATGTTTTTGTTTGTTTTGTGTTTTTTATGGACACATGTTAATTCCGTCTTCTGCCGCAGCTCGACCTTTGGAGACTTATGCATTGGCACAGAAGTAAATTAATCTTGTCCTTACCTGAAAATAGTTTTTGGAGAAAGGGTGCTTGGATGCACAAAAGGGTTTGAATTGGTTTGTATTTTTGTTACCTCGAAAAAGGGTTTAAGTGTGATCAGCATGTTTTATGATTTGTTAAGGAAAAAGTTTTAGTTTTAAATGCAAAGATGCAAAAAGGGGAAGAAAAGAGTTTAAGGGAGACTAGCCTATTTCTAACCTAATGCTATCATAAAATGGTAATCCTAAGATTTGGATTAACAAAAGGGAAATGTCTACCTAATGTTAGCATGCATGGTTTGCAATCTAAGGTCTAACTTGCATCCGAATGGAGCAAGCGCATCTTAAGGGAACATGGTATGTATAAGGATAAAGAAAACAAGCTAATAAGATCAAGAAAGCACACTTAGAGAGATCCTATCTAGGCTAGAATGTCAAAGAAAGTCTAACAAAACTATCCTATAGGGAACATGCAATGAGAGTGAAGTCGTGATCTCAATTTCTAAATTGAGTGACTCATCGATCAACAAGAAATAAAGGAAATAGATAAAATCCTATAGGGAAGATGATGAACCACGAAAACTACATAATCCATGGAGGGCTATGGTTCTGCGATGTAAGGATTACAATACGGTATCAAGAAGATGGTGAAAGGCCATGAACAACCAACCTCAATCGCCGATGAAGATGATGCTTTCAGGTATGTCCCATTCATCCCATTTGCTCTTCTTTTGTGCCTCTACTTCTATGCGCGCTCTGCATTTTTATGTTGCTGAAGTAGAGCGATGCACAAATGTTGTTGTTGCTATGTGTGGCGATAACGTGAGATGAAGATCGATGTCGAGATTCGAATATTGATGAAGCGGTGGATGCCTATCGAAGGTAGTGAAGGTCGAGAGGATTTTATGGTGATTCCTCTGAGATTTGCATAAGAGAATTGGGAGGGGTTTGTTGAAGGAAGCAGAGAGAAAATGGAGATTATGATGCGGAAAAGTGTGAAGATTCGAAGAGATGTGGTGAAGGTTGAATCTGAAATGAAGGTGAGTTTCTCTGAGTGATATGAATAATGATAATGAAGACTAGTGAAGTTGAGAGAGAATTTCTTGAGATATTCTCCAGATTGTTCTTGGTGAGTTTCCTATAATTTATTTTCCTCTGGCTTTTCTGGTGAAAAACGTGAATTTCCCCTTCCTTCCTTCTACCATCTTCTGTTATCCCCTTTTCGTTTTTCTGTTGAGGAGTTTGTTATATGAATTGGTTAGTTAGTTAGAGACTAAAGTGGTTAGGATACAGTTATAGGTTAGTTGGAAAGAAGTTTTGGAAATTCTGTCAGAAAAGTGTTCCTGTTATGAACAATCAAGAGGCTGTTATGGAATAGTTACAGGACAATCATGGATTTTTGTTTGGAGATGTTAGTTAGGGAGCTAAAGTTCTGTTAGAAACTGTTTTTGTTAGGAATTAGTTAATATTCTTTTAACGGTTGGTTAGTAGTTAGTTATCAGTTCTGATTTATTTTGTTGTTAGTAAATCTGTTTGGAAAATCTGTTTTGGCAGTTAAGAGAGGGGTTAAGGGTAGTTATGTTTAGAAGTTATAGGAAGTTAGGAAAGTTGGTTGTTAATTCTATCGTGACAGTTGGGAATTGGCAGTTTAGTTGAAAATTTATTAGAAATCCTGTTATGAAATTGGTTAATAGTTTTTCCAGTGAGGCTTGGTTACAGTCATAATCCTATCTGAATGTTGGTAGATAGCATTAATTGTTTCTTCTCTTTTCCTTGACGTATTACTGCAGGGTCCACACGGACCGCAAGCAGCAGTTCTTTCTGGTTTTGTTTCAACTGGTTCTATTTCAACTTCATGGTTTTTTCTGTGATTAATATGCAGGGCATGGTTTTTTTCCTGATATTTGGTTATAATTCGGCAGGCCATGGACTAATACACCATGCAGGTTTGGAAATGTTGTGTCAAAGGTCTATGTTTTAAATTGGCTCGAATCATGAGGAAGGTCAATGAAGAAAGTTGGAGCTATAAAGGAAGAAGTGCAAAGTAGGATGATCATTTGAAGAAGGGACTATATCATGAACACATGATAAAGAACAAGACTCACAGATACTTCTTTGGCTCATGGGAAATAGACTTTTAGCAAAATGCAGTAGCTTAACATATGAAATTTTTGTGTAATTTTCTTTGTATGTATACGGTTTTGTTTTAAACTTGTAATGATTTTGGTATTTGGAAGATGGACATGCTTTTGAAGTGATGGCTTAAATGTAGTCACCTGAACTAAGCTTTGAATTTGTACTTGCTCTTGAATAAGTCTTGAAATACACTTGGATTTTGATGGAATGAGATGTCTCTTTGTAACTTTGGTGTAATGTCTTGGTACCATAAAATATCTTATTCTTGTACCTTTTGTCCCGAACTTGAATAAAACTTGATATACTTGTACAAACTTGCGCACCTGGTCCAATGATGGAATTTTGGGTGAGACTTGAATGAATGATGAGTAGTTGGAAATTGTTTGAAACTTAAATGGCTTGATGGACATGTAACTCTTTGCAAATTTGCAAGCTGTATACCAAGAGAATCATATGAATGAATCTTCCAACCTTATCTTG